ATACAATATCAGGACATTTAACTGTAAATATATTCAGAACAAATTTTCTCAATGCCTTTGTTGAGAAAGAAATTATGATTGATTTAAAATATAATAGCTGAGGAATTAGTTCTATAAAATAAATTATTGTTTATTAATTTTATGAAATGTATCTATGTCTAACATTATTTTTCAACATTCTAATATTCACATTTAATACAAAACGAACGGATAAAAGAACAAATGCAATAAATAGAAGAATTTCTCGAAGCCTAAAGGAACTTCTGCTTTGCATTGTTGTGATTGTTGTTGAAGTTAAAAATATATACTTATTGTTGCTAGTGCTAGCCGTTGTTGTTGTTATATTCAGAAAATAGTAAATATATTTTTATTTAATTTAGGAAATATGTGATTTTCATACATAGTATACATATAGAGCGCATCTAAGTACATAAGGATAAGTTCTTTACTAAAATTGCACAAATAGCATTTAGGTAAGGATGATAGCCTAAACGGAAAGTTATTTTTTTAGTGTGTTTAATGAAATATACTTTAAATAAATATACATGATGTGTTGATTAAATATTTTTCTGTTAACACAAATGCACTCTTTTTTATTAGGCAATTTGTTGTGTGGGAGTAACATTTTAATATATGTTTCTGTTGTGTAGACCAAATCCTTGTAACTGACTGAATGCATTTATATATAACGTTGTTGTTAGTGTATATAAGTAGGAGATAAGTAGTTTGTAAGATATTGACTGGTCTGACCAGATTTTTTATGAGGCCCTTTGTGTATAATTAAAAAAAAAAAATGAGTGTGTTAACTTCTAGGACAGAAGCATCATTTCGTTTTGTAGAAATGACTAGTACAATTTAGGGTAGTCGTCATATATTTTCGAATTCTTATAGTTTGTATTTTGAGATTTTTGGACTGTGTAGGGTCTTATTCCGAAATTGTTTCACTGTCACAACACCAACTACTTTAAAATATTTATAATATACCTACAACTGAAATATGCTAGCAATATGAGTCAGATATTTGCACACCGTTGGAAGAATTGAATCGTTTAAATTATTTTCCAATACTTTAAACAGACGTATATCCTTCCATCGAAAATTTTTGTGGAAACGTTGTATGTATAGAGATTAAGTTAAATTTGCAGGAATTTAATATAAACTTAATCTGTAAGTCACAAAAATATTGATTTAAGGTTGAAAGTTTTTTTATTAGTGAAAAGTATTATAATATTGAAAAACGATGAAATAAACAATTCAAACTAGTACTGTTTAATGTTGTTGATAGTACAGTTGACAATAAAGAACATTTCGGGAGAGTTTTGTTTTAAAATAATTTGTCCGTTTCAGGTTTTCGTTGAGTTTTATCAGTTTCTGTTTTGTTCATCCCAGTTATTCGACGTGTATCATAGAAAATATACGTTAGTACTATATTTTCTATGACGTGTATTGGCACTGAAGTTACGTTCTCCGCATTTGAAATATGCCTACATTTCAGATTACTGTGATTTTATCTATTAACACAACCGGTGTTTTAACAAAAAAATAATGTGTAAGGTTCCTTCGTCAGTTTAATTTAACATTTCTACAAATTATAACCATATTTCACCCCTCTCATTTAAACTAAAATGCCAAGTTAGATTTACCTTCACAACTGTAAAAACAAATTTGAAAAACTAGTTGCTACATCGCCTTTTTTCCGGGGTAATACATATTACTTGGGAAAATTAACATCTATTTGCCATGCTTTCAATTTAAATTTGAAAAATTCTGACAAAGTATCAAATGAACATTTTTTACTAAAAATAATTTTGATTAATCACTTGTAGTCCAATTAACTAAGCCTTTAAATCGAAATTTTGTCAACTTGGCTGAATTTTTGATATGAGTTAGTTTAAGGTATATTATAACAATAAGTGAGAGTAATTTTTTGTTCAACCCCCGGCCAAGGGTGGAAAAAGATAAAACAAAGGGCTTTTTCAAGATAACTCAAAAAGGGTAAGAGCTAGAAAAAAAAGTTGTAAAGCAGACAATTCTACATAAAAATGGTCTCTTAGCTTTTTCTTGTACTATTAAAATTAACAGAGTTAGGGAGGCTAGAAGTTAAGGGAAGATTTCAGAAATTTAATTTTGTTAAATCATTAAAATTAACGATTAAAAATTTGATTTTTTGTTATAACTTTCTTATTAAAAATTAAAAATATATCTATTTCTCTGAAAAGAAAAGTTACATATTTTAGAGCAGATTGAAAAAAAAAATCATTTTTCTGTTTGTTATGATTTTCTTAAATTTCTGAAATCTTCCCTTAACTTCTAGCCTCCCTAACTCTGTTAATTGTAATAGTACAAGAAAAAGTTAAGAGGCCATTTTTATGTAGAATTGTCTGCTTTACAACTTTCATGAAAAACTTTTTTTTCTAGCTCTTACCCTTTTTGAGTTATCTTGAAAAAGCCCTTTGTTTTATCTTTTTCCACCCTTGGCCGGGGGTTGAACAAAAAATTACTCTCACTTATTGTTATAATATACCTTAAACTAACTCATATCAAAAATTCAGCCAAGTTGGCAAAATTTCGATTTAAAGGCTTAGTTAATTGGACTATTGCTATCAATCAATTATTGGACAGCAATGAGACCAATGAGGATAATTCTGAAGATTGTCTGCAATCTTTGAATATACAGTTTTTTTAATGGCTGCAGTTTTCAAAAAATAACTAAAAATTTTTGAGATATTGAATCCAAAATATTTTTAATAGGATAATTCAGAAACCCTCTAGGTTTGTAAGAGTTTTGATTGTCTATAGGTCTGTTCGAACAAGAGTCAGGGATTGGTTCTGAACCGTTCGAAATGTTTGGTCAGCTAGATTCTAAATGTGTCTTCAGTGAATATATCGCATGAATTAGTTGAATGCACATTTCGAACAGTTCGGGACCAATTCCTGACTCCTGTTGGAACAGACCTTATGTCTATACAATCCAAACTGTAGTGTTTTTTTTTTCAATAAACTCTTGCAAATTGGAAATATGTTGAGATGCTCGCTCTCAGATCGGTCTCGTAATCAACGAACTTGTTTTCTATATACAAATACAAAGTTAACATTGCCCTTAATTAATTTAGATATTTTTATGTTGTAATAAGAAATTCAGTAGGTATTTCTAACAAACTACAAACGTTTTAAGCCAATGATTTTCTCATACTTTCATGATTATCTTCAATTTAACCAACATTTTTCCAATAATTTTAATGGATATTGACCAAAATAACCTTCTTAATGAAACTTAACCTGAAAACTAAACATTCGTAATCAGCACTTAACACACAAAGCGGGTTCCAGATTATGCGGTCACTTGTCAAATATTATCACAATTAAACATTTGTAGTATATATGGTCGAAGATGCGAATGTGTTTGTAGATTTACCGGAGGACACAGATTTATCAAAAGTAAACAAATGCCGTATCGTGTGGATGCTGCATGTCGATGCATTCGAAAACACACTTATTGGACTATTCGACAAGCGAATATTGTTCGATATATGGTGGTTAGCTCAGGGGATGTTAAATTCAAAGAAAACAAAGCTGTCCGGATGTACGAAAGCCACTATCAACGCTTCAAGCAAACAGTTGATACGCTTACAATTGGTAAATATACTATAGAACGTTTAGGAATAGAGATAATTATGCTGTGTTCATATTTCACATGTGTATCTTACGCATATGATATAATTTGGAACTATAAATTTTAACCAACTGAACGTTTATGTATGACGAACGTTTGACCAGGCACGGCATCATATGGAGCCAGCTTAAAACTATCCAAAATTTAAACACATATGAGGAACAACTTGTTCACGTATTTACTTTTGTTTAAATCTACCCAAACTTCACAACAAACTTTCATTAGTGCAGTTATTACTTCAGACAAACTACATAATGTCTATTAAAATCGTGTCTTATAAATGACACAACTAAGTTTACTTGAGACTATTTCATTTGTTACAGATAAATTAAATCACCGGAATTCCTCACCTGACGGTATGGTATCCTCTACATAACTTATTGTTTAATAAATCTGTTCCATTACTAATTTAGATCAAAAACAACAACGCTGATTTTGAATTTTGTAAAAAAAATTCATAATTTAATAACATAAAAGCACTAAGATAAAAATAACTCAATTTATTATAAACTTTCTTTACATTAAAAATCGTAAATATTACAAAAGGGTTAGATTATTAATGCATGAAAATCTCTTTTTGGGTGTGTGGTGTGTGCGCAACATGCGCAAAACTAAAAAATAAAATCTATATGCCAACAATTATTATTGTTCTGCATAGAAAATTGAATATTAACATAATTTTTTTATGTTATTCTGTTAACATGATTAACATACCACTTATATTCATTAATTCTAAATTATTTAGAATTAGTAAAGTAAATACCAATTTTTTTCATCATTTGATATTACTCATTTTTTTATTGGAGTTGAAAGTAGGTAAAACAAATTTAATTTTTTTAATGGTAATGTTTTTTAAACATCTCTTAGCATTTATGGTTCTGGTCTCTAATAGCAATTTTTAATCTACTGTATTTATTTTTGAATTTTACTTTTCTCTATGTTCTTAATTTACAGTATTTCTTTTTAATATGTACCTAGTTTGATTTGTTCTTTTGAAAAATTATATATGTAGTTCAAACTCAAATTTTTAAATTTATTCTTTGTAGTTGTCTAGGCAACCAACAATACGTATTACTGTATATAGTTTTGTCATATAAACGTTTTCTGATTTCAACATTTTACGTCGTAGTGAGAAATGACATTAGGCGAATTCTTTTTCTTACGAATTTCAAATTATATTAATCTGAAATCGGAAAAGGTGATTGGTTAAATTACAAAATTATTAAGATTTTCAAATTCAGCCAATCAGCTACTCTGGTTTCAGATTATAATCCACAGATCATGACCAAAAGAACGTAGCTAGTATTGAATTTGACAGCGTAATAACCTATGAATTTGCATACCCACCCATCCATTTATTTTTCTAACCTCTTCTATAGTGGTCATAAAGAAAATATAAATATATTTTGCCCTTTCAAGTATTTATTATAACATCTAATTAAAAAGATAGATAAAATATGGCAGAGGAATTTACAAAAGAGGAACTAGTTTTACCACCGTGTAAATATGAATGTAAGTGTCCAAAACAAATACGTATACAAGCAAAGTATAGCTTATAAGTTGATGTAACTAATAAATATATATATTTTTGTTCCAGATTTGGATCATACAGCTGACGTACAGTAAGTGCCCTACGAGTAAATTTAGATACAACTCATTTGCATTTAAAAAATTTCAGGTTACACGCTTGGGGAAACAGTTTAAAAGAAGCCTTCGAACAATGTGGACTCGCAATGTTTGGATACATGACAGAGATAGATACTGTGGAGATAAAACAGTGCTCTGAAATTGAGGCCACAGGTAGCGATTTGGAAAATTTACTATTTCACTATCTTGACGAATTGCTATTCTTGTTTAGTTGTGAACCGTTTTTAATCTGTAGTAAACTGACTATTACCGAGTTCGTAACCGAAGGTGAAGAAATGAGGATAAAGTGTAAATGTTACGGGGAAGAGTTTGTGATAGGAAAGCACCCACAGGGTACTGAAGTTAAAGCTATTACGTACTCAGCCATGCAGATCGTCAACGAACCTGAAAAAAATCAATTTGAAGTTTTCGTTATTATAGACATATAAATTATATAAAAGTCAGCGTGTAGTGTGTATATTGCTTATTTTTTAATATAGTTTCATAAATAACGTCAAATATACTTTCATGATATAGACTGATTAATAAGTTGTAAACCAATTGTGAATTTTATATGAAATAATAACATGTAATAAATTTATTTATTTAATTATTGTTCTTATTTTTTAAAGCAATACAGGAAAATCTATTTTTCGGGAAACAAAGTTAATATAATCTAAAAAAGTATAAGAATTCTGAAAACATTAGAAGTAATTTATTCCTCAAGTAATTCTAATATTTCTTTTTAAATGGCCTTTCAATCAATACACATTTGTGGAATGTTTCTTTAAAAACAACCATTTACCAGATGTCTACACGAGAATAGTATTTTTTACCTTATATTAGTATAGTAATATTAAGAAATACTCATTAAAATAAAAAGATATGATTTAAACAAATTATTTTCTGTAAATTTCGAGAAATTTGTTTTAATATTTATATTGTTTACTTCTCATTTATGTTCATTAGTAATATTTTGTGCACATATTATTATTTATAAAGTCAAATTATTAAAATAAAAATGCATGATTTAAACATAAATTAGTTTTTTTAGTATTCATATTGCATAATTCTCGATTATGTTTTATTAATAATATTTTATGCAATTATTATTGTTACAAAATATTTATTAAAATAGACATGATTTAAACAAAATATTTTTCGTAAACTTAGGAAAATTTAATTTTTTATGTCCATATTTCTCGTTTGTGTTTATTAATAATATTTTATGCACAGAAAAATTGTAAATTAGGCAAATGATGTCATTGTCTAAATAATTTAATGTATATGAGACCTACTCTCTGGCATTCTATATGTTTGTGTTTTTAATTAAATATTAATAAATACACTAATTGCCAATATTACCATTCACAGACTAATTAATGAAGTCAAATAACGTAGGCGTGGTGTGATGTCGACACATTTAACAACGTAAAAAATATGTATGTCTGCATAGGTAATTTAATAACATGAAAATGTTGTCCATATTTTTTATACCTATATATTTCCATAATACTTGTTAATAAATAATACTGGAATGTTTTACATTTGTTTACGAATTTCGGTAATTTTTTTATAATTAATTGCAACAAAACATGGAATGTAGGAAATCCTAAAAAAAGTCAACAATTCTGCATTGAAATCAATAAAAAATATGTGAGAATAAAATTGAACATTATACAGGATGTCATTGAAGTATAAAGCTATAATACATAGTTCAAGATAGTTTAAAATTTTAAGGAAAAATGCATGTCTTTCAAATTACAAAAAAAAAATGGCTGATGCAATATCGTTCAAATTTAGCATTTAGCTGTCTTTTTATTGGCCACAAACGAATATACCTAAATAATGCTTTCTGGAAATGTATTACTTTCGCTTATTGCTAGAATAGCAGTTTTCGAGACAGTAATAAAATATATTAGACTATGCCTATAGATAATTATTGTTAAAAATGTCAACCTCAATCTATAAAAATATTAATAATAATATTAATAAATATTATTTTCGTAACCATAATAACTATGAACAAAAATAAATTATTATTATTATCACTCAATTGGTTTTAGAACCTTGCAATAAATGACACACTGCATATAAAAAACGAAGTGATCCCGGATACATATTTATATGATTTGTTTGACTCAGAATCTATCATTAAGGTTTGACAAAGTATTTTAATTACACACTGTATAATCACTGCAGATCCATCCGTTTATCTTGTAACAATTGTCTCTTTGGGTGTTTCCTAATTCTTTGTTATAGTCCAGCTAGTTCTTCCTTGGATTATTCTAGACCAAAAAATCTAAAGGACTAAATATCTGGCTACTAGTTTTCAACATACTGACGCTGAATTAAAGAAATATGACATTTATTCAAATACATCTGAAGATGTGTGAGCTATAGTGTTGAAACTTGAGCTAATAATTTACCTAATTTGGATTTCTGTTGTTTCACTACATTTAAAATTATTATATTTGAGACCAAAAACATTCATATATTTGTTTTAGACATTATTCAGTTGGTGACAAATCCATTTTAAACTTAAAAAATAATATAAACAGAAAAATATGTAGCTTATTTATCGAATAAAGTGACAGTATCTTTTTTTAGTAATAACATTCAATAGTGAACTTAGCTTATTATTCAAATGAAAATGAAATCAAAATCAAAGCATCACTAAACATTAAAAAGAATTTCAAAAATAGTTTCTCACAAAAAAGCGATGTTACGGCAGAAATTTTTTTCGGATTTTAGCATATGAGAATTACTTCAATGTGTTTAAAAAATAAAAAGATTGACTTGAAGTGCTGAATTGTTCAAGGGCGTCGTGAAGGGGGCATGGGGGCAGATGCCCTCCTAGAAATTCGAAAAAAGTACAAAAATTTTCTTAAGCTAAGAAAATATTGGATTGGAAATTTTTAATAAAATATTTTATTTACTTAAACTTTAATTTTGAAAATTAATTACTACTTTATTTTTTAAAAAAACAATTGTAATAAATTAGTATAAATATTTGTTGACAAAAGAATTTACAAATATAAAATTTTATGTTAAAAATTAATTCATTTCTATATTTTAAAAATTTAGCTCTGCAATTTTAAATTATAAATAATAAATTTTTATCTATCGGAATCAGAATAAAAGTTTAACAGTGCAACTAGAGCTATATAAGCTAACTCACCAATTTTATATAGGGGGAATGAAAAACGTTTTTAACAAATTTTCGTTGAATTTTTTTATTTTTTTTAGTCAATTATATTTTTTTACGTTTTTCTTGTATTAAAAAGGTTTTATTAAAAATATTAAAAAAAAAATTCTTGTCTTGCGCCACCCCACCCCCCTAGCCCATTGGCTGGCGACGCCCTTGGAATTGTTAAACGTTTAGAAATTAATTAATTAATTATGTTAAAGTTGAAAAAATGAATTATTTTTTAAGACAGAGACAAATAAATATTTTTAAAATTTCTTGATAATATATTAAAATAATAATTAAACTACACTCTTAATAAAAACGTTGTAACTTTGATATCGGTGAATATAATTTGGATTCTATACTATATCTCTACCACTTTATTTACCATTCTAAGTGTTGCATCTTCTGTTCATTTAAAGCTATATTTTTATATAATTTGTTATAAATCGTATTAAAAGTATAAAATAAATAAAACAAACTATTACATCAAGAACTAAGGGAATGTCAACATTGTTTTTCGGCGTTATATTATTTTAACTCTTAATCTTTCAGAACAAAAATGTTAAATAAAAAATATCAGTTCTAGTAGAATAAATAAACAAAAAATATTGTATAGGTTCAAATTTGGAGATAATGGAGGTCGTTAGATTTTATGCTTCTATTTGGAGATTATTAATTTAGTCACTAAAACGAATTGAACATTTATTAAACTAAATTGGACAATTAAAAACCTGTGACAGTTGTCATGTTAAAAAAATTAGGAATTTCCATTTAAAAATTTCGAATTCTCCACATTTTCTGAACTTCAGTCATATTTTATTTTGACCACCCTGTATAAAAACTGGAAAATTTTCAAGCCAAATTCGATAAATTAGGTCTCTCTCTACAAAATGTCCAATTTGCACAGGAAAATAAACCTATGTTTCCAGGAAAACTAAATTTTGCTGTCTGCGTCTGTCAATTTTTGCTTAAAAATCAAAATATCTCGGAAACGGTCAATCCTAAGTATGGAGTGTACTATAGGGTTTCAACTTAAAAATAGATGCTCTTTCCAAAAATGCAATAATATACAGGGGATTCCATTTGAAATAAGAAAGTTAGTATCGACTTCCGGTATAACCGGAAGTACGATGACCTTGAAAATATTGCTTGCTTTATAATAAAATTAATATTTAAAAAAGTTATACGTTCCTTTGCAATCTGCTTAAATGTATGTAAGAGTAATTTTTTAATTAAACTATGTGTGCCTAACAAAAAGCTGACAAGGAAAAAGCAGACAAAAAAATTATTTCGTTGTCAAAGCAATTATCACAGGAGACCAAATACCCAATAAGGGCTAATTACGGCTAATTTATAAATCCCTACTAATATTATAAATGTGAATGTAAGTTTGTTTGTTACGCTTTCACGCGAAAACTACTTAACCGATGATCATGAAACTTTGTACACATATTCTTGGAGGTATTAGAAGTAACATAGGATACTTTTTATTAAAAAAAATATTCTATCACTCTGCGAGCGAAGCCGCGGGTAAAAGCTAGTACTAGATATATTAAACAATATCCCTCTAGTCCCAAATAAAGCCCCAGCTGAAAGTAATACCCCTGAAACCCCCATTCTCCACGACGTTATCTGCAAAGCCCCCGGAATGCAATCACCATTTGTCGAGGGCACTTACCATTATTTTCCCGGATGCCAAAAGCTCGAGTTAGTCCTTTTAAGAATGCGTCCTGCGTTGGCTCCCATAGTCAGTCCCAAGCTCTGCACCGGAGGAATAAGAACTTTCTTTAGTGCAGCTCTCGCCACGCGTATCGAAATTTGATTTTTCGGGGCGGTCGACCGGCACGGTGTTAGTCTAGGATACGACGCGGTGGTGATTTTCCTATTCAGTGATGAATGGGGGCGGTGTTTCGAATTCGAACGGGACGGAGGAGTAAATAAGATGTAAAAGTGACCGGAAAAATGGAAAAGAAACTTTGTCCGTATGTGGTAGGTTTTCTTTTCGTTTTGTTGGTGGACTGCGGGGAGACCATCAGATGGCTGTAAGTAGATTTGAATGGGGTGGACGTTTGAACCGTATTTTGTTTACAAACATTTAATAAACAAATAGAAAGGAATTTACATTTAATTATTGTAAATAAATCAGTTATTTATTTGGTAAGCAAATACGTGGGTAAAATCGTTATAGTACAGGAAAAATTTTTAGTTCAAAGAAGAATAAATAAAGAAATTTAACATAAAATACATAGAAGTTAATAATAGTCCAGTCACTGAAGGCGAAAAGCTCCCAATTTTTTCGGAGAGCATGGATTTTCCTGAAAATTTGCATACAAGCTCATCTGACCCTGCACTTCAAAAGTTGTATTGTCTAGATGTGTGCTTTTTTCTGTTTGGGGGTGAAAACTACCGTTGTACGAA